GATTGAACAATGTCACGCTCATAACTGTGCCTGATCTACAACAGGGAACCACCGCTTTTTCTTTCCTAATCCTTACTATTGTCATTTTCCTCTACTTCTTTAATATGTTTGTCTCTCTCTTGTGACCTGCTATTTCCGGGGTGCCTTGATAGTCGAAGTAGACCTTGTGTTGTTGAAGCTAGAGAGGTGAGCAGAGTAAGTCTGATTCCCTGTAAAGACTTCTCTTTTGACACCCACCCGTTGGCGCTCATATGACCTAATATGCAGTTGCGAGCGCCGTAAAACCCTCTACTATAAAAAAAAAAGACTAGTATGTCCTACCTACTTTACTTTCCCTCTTTTGTTTCTACGTCTGTTTTATACCTGTCTGCCTTACTTTTTTCCAGCACTAGATGACCATTGTTGTGTCGATGTTCTTCTCTTTAATCAAACAAAACACACTAACAAAATGTCTATTGTCCTTATCTTTCCTCCTTTTCAAATCTTCGGCACGTCAGTCTAAGTCTGATTCTCTGTAAAGACTACTCTGTTGACACCCACCCCTTGGCGCTCATATGACCTTATGCAGTTGCGAACGCCGTAAAAATCCTCTACTAATAAAAAGAAGTAGTTCTGTATGGTCTTATTGAATTGCTAGTGCCGTAAAACTCTTGATCTTACTTTAACCCCCCCCCCCCAATAAAACAGGTTGTTTTTATCCCGCTTCGAACAGACGATCCTGATTTGCAGGGTTGAAGCAGCCCGCCGCATAAGTGAGTGGCTGGCGGGTGCTCTCGTGTGGTTTGCTCCTTCTTTCCCACCAAACATCTATCGTCCTCATCTCTTCTTTTTCTTCTTTGTTTTTTGTTTTGTTTTCTTGTTTTTTGCTCTCTTGTAACATCTCTAATCCTCGGCACTTATACGACCTCATTGTGTTGCAAGTGCCGTGAAACGCTTACTAAAACAAGTGATACCGCCTAAATAATACGCAGTGTTTTGATGGGGATGTAAACCATACTAGTTACAATCAGTCATTTTTTCCCCAATAGGTATAGATCTACACGTGTTCCCGTACAAATGCAGTCCACATGCACAAAAGATTGAAGACAAAGTATATGTGCATCAGGGGCGGCTCGTGGGTCTAAAAAGTGGGCGTGCACAATTATGCTGAAGATAATCAAGGGCAGAGTAAATGGGATGGTGTATAATTTTAGGATCTTTTGGTTGGTGAAGGAAGACCTTGTGCTTTTATTTTTCTTGTGGCTTTGACTTCTAGAACTAAATCTGTTTGTTAGCTAAACGTCAATTTCATTCATCCTGCATTAGAACTGAACACTCAAGTAATACCCTTCACCACTCCACTACAAAACCGTTCAAAAGCACAACTCATAGGACGGCGACTTAAGTATGTCACGTTGTCCTCTCTCAGGTTCACGGTCACAGAGTCACTTAAAATAGAGACAAGACAATGAACCAATCACCATTCACTTGAGCACTCTGCTGGATTGCTCTGGGACCCACATAATTTTGGCATGGAATAGTGCACAGTCTATGGCGTTTGTTTTAAGATTGCCTACTGTGGACTATGTTTCGGCGCTATTCGGCAGGAGCACATTTGAGATGTGCCGTCTTATTAATATTAATGTACCGTCAAACTCACTACAAGTGTCATCATCGCTTGGGTTATCCCAAAGAGCGATTTATAGGTCAGGTTTCCACTGTTGAGTATCCTGCTGTGTTTAGATTCAGCGCATGAACTTAGGCATGGCATAGTAGAGGTTTTACGGCGCTATAGAATAGAAATGACAGTTACGTGCCAGCGAGGGCCTTGTTTTGATGTAGTACTTGGCTAGTGTTTGTTTCTGGCGTCTTTTATTTTATTATTGTGGGTGCTTTACGTCATAGAACATTAAAACATTTTGGGCGGCACTGCACGACCGTGCTCTATGGACGAACCTCGCCTGATGTGCATTTAAAGTTTGAATGAAAGAACTTGGGCGAAAGTAGTTCCGGGGAAATCCTACAGCAATTACTGATTTGAATGTAGGGTGAAGAAAGAGGAACGATAAAATAGTATTATAAGTAGGTCTGTAAGATAATCCTTACTGACCCACGAGGGAAATTATTAGTGCATATGCCAGATCATTAATGGCATTGGTGGTCTTTTGCGTCTGTCTTGACAGACGATCTCATAATATTCATGAAGCAGTATTCATAATACAACCAGAGAGGGTTTACAGTAATATTGTAGTATTACTGTAAACTCCCAGATACAACTTTGCCTGGACGGCAGACATTGAGGAAATAGATTACCCAAGTATGACTCTCATCCCCCCCCCCCTTCCCCTTTCCTTTTCCCATTCAGATTAATTTAATATATGCTCCAAAAGAGGAACATCATCAGTATGTTTAGGATCAAGGAAGGTTAAAGGGTATGTCTTATTGTTTTCGCAGGAGCTATGATAGATAGCGATATTTCTATGGCAGAGATTTTTTTTGGTTTGAAATTAAAAGTTTAAAATTTCTCCCCGAGTGGCGGCCTATAGGCCTTCTCTTCTTATTTTCAACCGCCAAGAGATCTTAAACGTGCACGCGGGCCCTCCGAGATTTTTCGTCCTAATCCTTACTATCGTCATTTTCCTCTTCTTCTTTTGTATGTTTGTCACACTCTTGTGACCCGCTATTTTCGGGGTGCCTTGATAGTCGAAGTAGACTTTGTGCTGTTGAAGCAAGAGAGGTGAGCAGAGTAAGTCTGATTGAGTAATTCCCTGTAAGGACTTCTCTGTTGACATCCACCCCTTAGTGCTCATATGACCTTATGCAGTTGCGAGCGCCGTAAAACCTCTACTAAAACAAACAAACAATAAGCTCTTACTAAAATAGACGGAACTAGACGTAACTGGCAGAAAAACGGTCCAGATACTTGACGGTTTTTTTAAAATATTTTTTTTGGGGGGGTGGGGGGGGGGGGGGGTCGTTTGTTTGTTGCCGTTCTTGTCTAGCTTTGCCTCCGAAATAACTTTGTAGGGAGAAAAAGAAGTAGCAGGAAGGTGAGGAAACCAAGGCAGTTAAAATGCAGATGTGTGTGGTATCTGGCTATGATGTTTTTAGTAATCGTTCTAATCCCGTGTGTGAGTGGGTGGTTGGCGGGTGCTCCGGTGTGATTTGCTTCTTCTTTTCTATCAAACATCTATCGTTTTCATCTCCCCTCCTCCTTCCTTTTTGTGTTTGTTAATCTCTTGTAACACTTCTAATCTCCGGCATTTTTATGACCTTATTGTGTTGCAAGTGCCGTAAAACACTTACTGAAACAAAATCTCATGTCTTTATGAACAGCCGAAGTTTTGATAAAACCAACCTGAACATAAAATAGCACTGACACACACACACACACACACACACACACACACACACACACACACACACACACACACACACACACACACACACACACACACACACACACACACACACACACACACACACACACACACACACAGACAGACGTGTTGGGGTACGCTTTATTGGCTTTTGATTATATCATGTTCATGTAGATGAAAAAACATGCTTTTGATTATATGATATTTATGTACATGAAAATATATGCTTTTAAAAATTATGGTATCATGTTCATGTACATCAAAATGCACGCTTTTTTTTCAGTTAATTGCCAGGCATAGAACATGTCGATCTCGGGTACAAACATAATAGGGAAAAAACCCAAAACCGAAACCTAACAAGCAAAGAATATAACAACATGAAACCCACAAAGACTCCTGGGCACAAGCAAGATATTATTATAACAGTAGCTCCACTGTGACTCCTACAGTGACTCCTACAGTGACCAACTGCGCACTAAGATAATATGTAGGACAAGAACTCTAAGGTATCGAATTAAAAAAGGGGAGGGGGGTAGGAATAAACAGGTGGTGTGGGGGGTGGACAAGTGGTCCTAAATTAATAAACGGGGGTGGGTGGCACATTCAACCTCATACCCATATACTAGTAGTAGTAGGAACAAATCTGTTTTATTTCTCCTTCAGTGAAAAAAAGAACAAGAGATCATGAAATTTTTGTGATTTTAGTAAGTTGCTGTGACAACTTTTCTCATTAAGGAACAAACCAGTTATATAAAAAAAAATATAAACCAAAGTAGGCCTACAAAGTTTAAAAAATGCACAGAAAATTGACGTAGCCAACCCGGTACCGGTAGGCTCCTAATACTGAGGGTAATTTGCCATTTACAAAAAAATAAAGAAGTTTCATTCAGAATATCTAGATAATATAATGTTTCACAGGATCGTCGATCGCGGCACGCTGGAAAATAATAAACTGGGAGTATGGAATAAGGAGCGGGCGGGGGCGGGGTGGGGTGTGGGGGGTGCGAAAAAAACTGAAAATTAATAACTTGGGGGGGGGGGGGGTGCTTATTCGATACCTTAGACGAAGAGTAGGCTATTTGTCTGCCAGCGAGAAATGAGCACCAAAAAAACAAAAAACAAAAAACAAAATCCACGAGTTATAAAGGGACGTAGCCCCATCATTACCGGACTCTTTTTTAGCAAGATACTAGTTGTCGCCCTTTGATATGTTTTTTGTGTTGTTTTTTGCTTCAAAGGGGCTTTCATTTTTATTATTTTATTATTATT